GATACAGTGTGAAATTTGGTCATTTTTTGAAGCAAGTTACTGCCTCATCCTAAAAAGTAGCTGTAAATATATTTCATATAAGAGTGGGAACTTTATTTTTAGTTCTGTGGATAATGGAGATCAAGATTAAAACAAAACAAAAAAAAATGTAGTGTAAGAGGAAAAAAAACAAAACAAAACAAAACACAAAAAAAAAAAAGATTAGCAATTAAGTGAAAATCCCCTCCCCCCTCCCCCCCCTTTCCCCTCCCAAAACCCAGTTTCAAATGACATCACAAGTTCATAGACGTTCCCAGTTTTTGTAGCGTTAGTGTGTTGAGGGGGATTAGAGTTTGAGGCGTGTTCGTATCCAATATTTTTTCATCATATTTTTTATTTTGCTACCTAAATGATTCTCAGACACAAACAGGAAATGTGATTGTTTAGTGTAAAGAATTGTAATATAGGTACTTGATAGATTTATTTGCAACTAAGAGTTTTTGACTTCTGTATTTTGTCAAATGTAAAGCTGGATACAGAGTGTTGTTGATGAGCTGAAGCTTCTGTTGCAGGAAGGATTCAGAAACTTGGTATACTAAGTAGAAGTAAAAATGACATTTTCTTTAGTAAATAAACTTTGTATGAAATTATATTTTTTATTTAAGAGCTGTCATGTTTGATATAATTTTTATATTAAATACAATGTGATCTAAGAATGGAGCAGTAGATGGCTTTTATTATGTTTTTTTTGTGTTATTGAGTTATATTGTAAATGTAGCATAAAATGTTTGTCAGAGACTGTTTCAGCATGAATTCCCAATCCTAATTTTATGAGAAAAGAAGTGATATTATTTTGAACTGGTTGTTAATTTACTCAAATAGAAGATGCTGTGGAGTGTATGTTCTGGTGTGCCTCAAAGGTATCCACTTTTAAAGGAACAAAGATATGCACATATATGCATAAGCAGACAAGTAGACAGAAAATAGTTATTGCATTGTAGATACGACTGATTTTCTACTCTTCATATTTTGAGCAAACAAACATGTTCCATGGAGCTGTGATGATAAGTATTTGCTAGTCCTAGAGCAGCACCTGTATATTTTTTCTCAATTATGGTTAAATATAAAGAAATCTCTTCAATGCCTATATACTGCTTGTAATGGCAAGATGATGATAACCAGATATAAAATTATAATTTTTTTCCTTCAAAAATATTTGCTTCTTTTATATATTTGTAAATACTCTTGCTTAGGCAAAGCCTGGCTAAGTTGTCTATAGGTTACTTCTTTGTCTATCAGATTCCCGAGAAAGGTGAGTAGAAACAGAAAAAATTAAATGAATTAATTTTGAAATAGATTTAGAAACTGCACATACATCCCTCAGGAAGCTAAGATAAGTACAGTTGGAGGGCAGAAATCCCTGTAATAATTGCAAAGGCAGTAGTTCCCAAACTTTAGTGCACCACATAACCCTTGAAGCTTTGCACTGAATTAGTGTTATTGAATCTTACAAAACTATCAAGATCCTGAAAAGAGGAAAGTAAAATTCATTTAATAAAACAATTGAAAGAGCAACTAAATATTAGGAGTAAATTGTGTGCCATAATTTGGGAACCTGGACTAGGGTGGAGGAAACTTGCCAAGGTGAAGGGAAGACCACCATGCTATTGAATAACAGGTTTTATATCCTAATCAAGAAGCACAAATAGAACACAAAGTAAATGTCGAGTAATGAAACTAGAAGGGCATTCATTTGTATCTTTGGCTGTCTCTTGGAACAACAGAAAATGACTGAATTGTTCATAATTTTTTCCTTGCATAGATATGCAGGTTCATCTATCACACTCATATGGAGTAGAGAAACTGCCTGCTCAGTTGAATTTTCCAACCCAGAGCATGGTTTAGCCTTACCTTTGCACAAGCAGGCTCTAAGTGATTATATTAAGATTCTTGTTATTTGTTTATCTTTTTAAATATGAATATTATTACTTAATATAAACAATTACTAATAATACAAGACATTTCCTTGGTTAGTGTGGCACTATCAAATTAAGTGTTGTTCAGCTTTGAAAGTACAAAACTATCATCAAGAATGTAGGATTTTTGCAGAAGAAAAACCTTGCAAAGGGAAAGTATGTAGCAAAATTCAATCATGGTTGTAAAGAATTGGATTAATTTCTGTATATTTATTTTTTATTTTGATGATGCATCACATTATTGTAGGAAGAAGTGATGGTTATGGACATGAAGTGACATATATATATTTTTTCATTTTTAGAAATATGTTTATAAAATCATAGAGGTACTGATAGACTGTTATAAGAATTTAAGAAATATATTTTTTGTGCTTGAATGTAACCATGCAATAACTTTTTTCGTTGTTATGCTCATGTAAGGGCTATGATAAGCAATAACTGCATCAAATGAAAATCAAAAGAAAATATATCTAGACGGATGACTACATTTCAACATTTTTATGCATCAAGAATTCTTTTCATCTTTAGCTTTCCAAAATTGTATCGGCTTCTGTTAGAATAAATGTATTATAAATGTGAAATTCGATGGAAGGTTTATTACTAAAATTCTTGTGAATACACAACTATATGTGAAACAGTTCTGTATTTCAGACAGTTTACATCCTGGAATGAAGTTTAGGGTATATTTGAATTGGTCTGGTATTAAGCTTTCTTCAGGAATTATTTGTGTGTGTGTGTGTGTGTGTGTGTGTGTGTGTGTGTGTGTGTGTGTGTGTGTGTGTGTGTGTGTGTGTGTGTGTGTGTGTGTGTGTACTTGTG